GCCGTAACTAGGACGGAATACGTCTCACCGGAGTAGATGAACAAGTTTTTGACAACGAACGGTTCAACATAGTGACCATCGACTTCGACAACTGTCATGTTATGGCCTTCTATTTCAAAACTCAATGCTGATAGGGCCGTTAGGCTTCCGATTCGAAGACGATATGTTTTTCGAGGAATAACTGTCAATGCATAAGGTGTGCATTCAGGATTTGTGGCATTGCAAAGACCTGCTTGAATGCCTGGTGCATTGCAATCGAACCTTCCCTTGCCTTGTATCAGAATAGACTGAAAATTTAAGAGAAACCCATTAGTCACTTGCACACAACCTCGTTCAATTTCACATGTAATATAACTACTACTTAAAACCGGCTTCCAAGGGGAGAGTGTCATGAGCTATAAGGCGGATCCAGTACCCGCGAGCCTTAATTGGAAAATTTTTTTTCCTCTTATATTGGACGGCAGCTTGAGTGTCCGTCGAGCATTCGCCCTAACTCAGATGAATCCCCGGATCGGTGAATGAGCATGTTCTGTTGTGCTTAGATGTTACTTTTTAAGGCACAACAAAAAACATGCTTTAAGTCTTAACGATGTGAGATACAATTAAAGTCATTATAGACGAGATTACTTTGGGATAAACTTACTTGAGGTTCTCCAACAAAAACAAAGGGTATTGAAGAGAGGCCAGCAGCTTGTTCATATGTGCTAGCGTGATACCAATCAGCAAGGATTATACTTTTATCATAATCATACCAAAAGGGCTCGGATTCTCCATCGGGAAGTGATACACGAATTGATCCGTACAGCCCTGCTTCTCTTTGCATACCATAGTGTGCATGGTATAAATATGTCCCTGGCTGCAGAACAAGGAAAAAACATAGTGAACTACTGAACCAACGACTGAAATTTCATTTGGTTCCGCCTTAAAACTGACGCAAGACATGACTTTTCACGAGTTATGTGGGACGACTCAAAAGCAGTCGCAAAGATTTAATTAAAGGAATAATGCTTCTTGTACATCACCCCTT